TATATATTACATGATTTATGTAATTAGAATTGAAAAAATTAATAATAATAATTCGATAATCAATACGGTTAAATTAAAATAAAAAGATATTTCTCCTACCCTTTAATGATAACTGGAAAAAAGATCAAATGAGGAATGGAAAAACGATGCTAAAACTAAAATGGCACATGATCAATCAGGGATTCAATGAAATAATCTTTGATCCGGAACATCTGTCGCCAAAGCTCGGGTACAACATCGTTGATCAATGCTTTGCACGTTTGCAGAAAAAGCATAATAATGATTATTTAGTTATATGGTAGCCACTTTTTAAAAAAAAATAATGTAATATCTTAATACCTTTTATCATGTTGCTTGATAAAATGCAAATTAAAAGTTATTTAACATTAACGATTGGCATATATATTGGCATTGTGCATTATGCAACATTTGATTCTCAATGCCGTTCGTTTGCATAGGGTATCACTTTTTTTGGTGCTAAAAGACAGGAGTGAGTGTTGTTCAATGCTATTCGACGCCTCTAAAAATTTACTGATTATGATGATATATATCAAATAGGCTGTAAATAATTATGATTTTGCAAGCATCTATGGACAGACAATTCAAGTATATATACGCATAACTTTCCTACCCTGGTCGCGTTTCTTTATGGATACCCTCTCAATCGTTACTCTCTCTACTCGAGTCAGATACGCTTTCCAATAAAATAACTTGCTAAAATCTTGCGATTAATTCCTCGCTAAAAGAAAAAGAAAAAGAAATAATAATAAAAATTATATATAAAATAAGGGAAAAATAATTACACACGGGATTAGTATGAATTCATTGTTTAGATCATTATAAAAATATAAATTCAAGGAAAGGACAAGGACAGTCTTTCATTTATTTATTGTTATGTTAAGAACTTGTCCTATTTGATTTTAACAATGGCTGATGTAGATGCGGTAAATGAGTCAATTGAAAGGCATAAAGTATTGAGCAAAGATGTTAATCAAAGATGTTTGCTTATTCTCAGAATAAAATATTTTAATGATTTACAAGATTTATAATAAAGTACAATTATATACTTAATAAAAAAATTAAACATAATAAAATACATATGAATAAATAATAAAATACATATGAACAAATAATATAAATAAATTATTATAATAATACATTTAAATTTAAATTTGAATAGGAATTAATCAGCAACCTTTCTTCTTTTTGGTTGTCGTCTTATAACTATAAAAAATTAATAAATAGATTTAATTTAATTTATTATTATGAAAAATTCAACAAATGATCAAAAAAAAAAATATCCTACCTCTTTCAATTGGTGCTTTATTTTTTTCAACCAATTTATTAGTTTCATTATTAACTTTTAAATAAGCATCATCATCAACCAAAGTATTTTCTACAGCTTTAAGTTTTCCTTTATTTTTCCTAGGTGTTTTTACACTTTTACTACTTGAGGAAGATTTTGCCTTACTAATATGTGGTTGTTGTTGATGATGAGGAAGAGGACGATTATCATCACCGCTTATAGTACCAGATTTTAAAAATTCATCCCATGCGCTTTCCAATGTATCTAAATCCTTTATCCAAAGATCTGTAGCTGTCATATCTGAAATCTCTGTTAATTCATCTTGTAACATTTTCTTTTTTTCTTCATATTTATCTATCTAATTTTTTATAGATTTAATTAATTATATGCAAGTATTATTAATAGAACGATATGATTTTGTAATAACCAAATAACTAACTAACTATCAATTAATTAATTACCTCTTCTCTACTAAAAGTCCAACATGTCATTTTCATTAAATAATTGTATCCTCTAATATCGTCATTAAATTCAACATCTGAATTTTCCGATTCACTATCTTCAGATGATGAAGGTGACAATGACGCTGATGACGATGACAAATCATCTTCACTATAAATTTTATCAAAATTATGTGATTCAAGAAGTTTTATAATTTTTGATTTCTTTAAGCCTTCAAATTTAATTTCATCTTCTAGTTTCATATAAATAAATCTAATTTTATTATCCATTATATTCACTTTTTGTTGTAATTTTCTAATTAAATACGACTATTATAAGTAAACAATATGTATGTATGTTAATAATGACGATAGTAAAAATCTTTGACAATAAAAAGAATTCTAACTTACCCTTCTTTTTACATAAAAGTCTAATCTTATTTGATAAAATTCTTTTAGTATATCTTCTGGCGAATCATATTTTGCTAATTTATTATTTGGATCAAAACACATCATATTTGTTGTTGCCATTGAATTTGTCAATTGGAAAAATTTTTCAAATCCTTCCTCACTTTCTGCTTTTGCCATTTGTTCAAGAGATAACTCAATCTCAAGATCTACTTTTTCATTTGTACAATTGTTTCTAACAACATTCTAAAAAAAAAAGAATAATTAAGCACATGCAACTAAAAAATTAAAAAATAATAATTGCACACATATATATATATTATATATAAATGCCTTAATAGAACCATTTTCTTTAAGATCAGTAAGAACTTTTGATTTGTAATCTTCGGTCCATTTGCGAATGGGTAATTCTGAGATTATTACACGTGTTACACCTATTTTGGTCACAATGCCATATGATATATATTTATTTTTCTCGGTTTGTTTTATTTCGCCCTTAAATATAACAAATAGATATATAGATAAATAAACAAACAAACAAGCAAGCAAGCAAATAAATATAACAACTCATATATATTACAATAATTACCTGAAATCCACGATACCAAGGATGCATTGGATTTAATTCTTTCCCATTAATCATTTGTCTTAAATTATAAATAATATCTTTAGGATTGTAATTTGGTATATTGGTACTCCAACCTATAACAATATAAATATATATTAGCACATCTCTTTGTAAAGATATATATATATATATATATATATATATAAATTAATTAATTAATTAATTAACAAAAAACCACAATGCCTACCTGTTCCTATACCTTCCGCACCATTTACAAGAATCATTGGGATGACTGGAACATACCATTTTGGTTCAATACTTTGGCCATCTTCGTTCAAATAATCAAGTAAAACATCATCATCTGGATGAAAAATCATACGCGCAAATGGTGTAAGTCTTGTGTTTATATAACGAGCACTAGCAGCACTTTTACCACCCTATATTAATATTAATATTAATATTATTACCATTATTATAATTATTTTAAATGAAACAACAACTTACATCATTTCTTTTTCCAAATTGTCCTATTGGTTCAAGTAAATTGAGGTTGTTTGATCCTACAAAATCTTGAGCAAGCCCAATAATAGTAGAATGGAGACTCACTTCACCATGATGATACGCAGAATGTTCTGCAATATAACCTGACAATTGCGAAACCTATTATATAAAAGTGTAGAAGTGTAGAATATAGTAAATTGATAAAATTTTGCTAATATCATTTTTTTTAAAAAAAAATAAGATTAATTATAATTAAAAAAATGAAAGATTAATTACAATACCTTTATTTGGCCTTTAACCAAATTTCTTCTGAAACAACCAAACAAAACTTTACGCTGACCAGGTTTTAAACCATCAATTGCAGAAGGAATCGATCTGGTATTATCAGAAAGAGAGAATAAAGATAATTCTTTGTTTATAAAATCCTTTATACTAATTTCATTTTGCGTATAATCAATATATGTTCCATCCTATTTTATTTTATATATTTATTAATATGTGTAATGAATGATGCATGTACACAAGTTCTGTACATAAATATGTCCAATTTGTTACCTCGATGCCTTTAATCCATTCTTTACGTTCATCTGCATTCTTTTTAGAAAATGCCATCTCAATTAGCTTATGATCTTCATCATCCATTGGTTTAAATAATTTAACATGTTTATCAAGATCATTGAAATATTCTTTTGCCTCATCAGATGTACTTGTTCCAAGACCCTAACATTCAATAGTAATAAAATAACAGTTGATTTTATCAACAACACATCTCATAAACAATAAATAACAAACAAACTTTTTGCTACCTTATAATATTTGATTTCCCAACCTTTTCCATTATCGTTTTCGCCCTTCCATTCCTCATATTCAGGAATTGTAAAAAAAGATAATACAGTCTTATCTTTTTGGCACTGTTTGATTAATCAAATATTTTTATATATAAGTAATAACCATTATTCTATTTACTTAAAAGTAAGCATAATGGTTTAATCCTTCACCTTGACTTTGACAATAGGTGTAATGAATTCACGAAGAAAGCCGGGTTGTTTTAATAAGGATGGATAAAAATGATCAAAAAAATTGATAATCAAACCCTTAATATGACTACCATCGTGATCCTATTACACAAATAAGTTATCAAATAATTGCTTGACAATAGTGACAATGTCAGTAATAATAAAATATGAATTACTTGATCGGTCATTATCATAAGACTACCATATCGCAAGTCTTTGAGTGAATCATACTCTCTATTGTGTTGTAAACCAAGTATTTGTTTAATCGCTTGTACTTCTTTATTTTCAGATATTTGTTTCAGTGATGCATCGCGAACATTTAACAACTTCCCACGTAATGGATAAACACCCCATTCATTATGACCAACAACATCAAAGCCTGCTAAAGCCAATGCTTTGGCTGAATCGCCTTCAGTTAACACTAATATACAATTCTGAGCATTTCGCGTTCCAGCATTAACTGCATCATCCAATTTTGGGACATTGATCCTATTGATCAGCAAAAATAATTAAATATTATTGTAAGAGTTAAATTTGCTAAATTAAATTGTCATATGAAAATTTCTCACATATTTCTTTTGACTCCATCCGTTTTCTTCAAGTCCTGAACTTGTTTTGATTTAAGATCATTCATTATACCCTCTAAAATACCCGTTCTTACCACTTTAAATATGTATTTTATCAAAAGAAGAAAAAATCCTCAAATCATTAATTATTATTATTTTACCCATATTATTTTATTTTTCTTCAAAAAAAGCGATTTACCTTTTTTTATGAAATCATCATCAACCACACACTTTGATCCAAATGAACTTTGTTTTAATGTCATATTTTCCTTTGTTTGAGAATCGAATGCAGGATTTTCAATTAAACAATTAACAAATATCCAGATGTAATTTTTTATTTGGAATGGCTTAACTTTAACACCCTTATTTTTTTTTTCTATGTGTTCAGTAAGTTTTGTAACTATTTGATCAATCACATGTTTAACATGCGTACCACCTTTAGATGTACAGATACTGTTTACAAAGCTCACCTAATCATTAAATAAAGAAATAAATAAAGAAATATATATAAATAATATTTTTTTAAAACGATTTTAACATGAAATAATAAAAAACAGATAGACAGATAAATATACACATACTTGTTGGAATTGACCTTCAATGCTAGGAGTTATACTGATTTCCCAACGATCATTAACATGTTCATGTACTATACTACTTCTTGAAGATGCACCGACCGCATTAACTGATTTCAAGTACATTTGAACATATTCCTTAAAATTTTTTGCATGAATACGTTTATCATTAAGAAATACTTTAACATCTTTTACAGTTCCAGCCATGTCATGTACACGTTTACTCAACAAAGAAATGGCTTCATCAGTCAAACCAGTCATTCCAAATTTCTCAAAATCAGGAATAAATGATATCATGGTGTATTCTTCTTTCTTGCTATAACTGGTGATCTTTGGTTTATCGGTTTGAGTCATGTTATTATGAAATAGCTGTATGTATCTTTTTTTTTGTGTCGTATCAGTTGTTTCTACGGTGAATTGGGTACTGAAAATATTTACAGATTTTGCACCAAGACCATTTCTACCACCAGTAACTTTCTTCTCATCATCATTATAATTTGATGATGTCATAAGTTGTCCGAATAACATTTCTGGTACATATACATTCAATTCTTTATGAATTTCTATCGGAATACCTTTTCCATTATTGTACACGGAAATTTTTCCTGCTTCTTTATCAATTTTAACTTTTAATGTGCTCATTGAAGAGTCTCTGATCTAATTTTTGAGAAACATTATTATTACGTTTATTAAACAATCAATTGACGACCATTAATTATAATCAAGCAATACCTTGTTGTCAGCAGCATTAACAAGAATTTCATCGAAAATTTTGAAAAATGCTGGAACATAAGTAATTTCTTTATATTCTAGTTTATCCTCTTCAGCGTTATATATCCATTGTTTGTCAGTTATTGCTTCAACAGAGCCGACATAAGTATCTGGTCTCTTAAGTACATGTTCAATTGGAGTTAATTTAATATAAGTTTCTTCGATTGTTTTCGAAGAAGATTCTTGAGCATTAGACGTAGACATGTGTGCTTGTGTTTTCTAGAGATTCAAATAATTTACAGCTAGCTAATTTTCTGAAGGAAAAATATTTTCTTCTAATATACATATATAGAAAGAGGGAGAGACGAGAAAGTGAAAGAGAAAGAGGGATGAATGAAAGAATGTGGGTTTTTTTAAATTAAATAGAAAAATGCTCCTTGTAAATTAAATTTTATTTTCTTACACAAAAATGATGGTCAAAACAATGGACATAATAATAATTTATATATATATTAGATATATTGGATAACAGAATTAAAAAAAACCCATAATCAAATCTTTGGGAAAAAATTATGATTTTATCGTCATATGCATATTCATAAGAGCTTAAGTAATGGGGTTGTGTTGGTCCAGTTCCCAAGACCAGGGAGATTTTTTTTCAGAGAATTGAAAGAACCACCATTTAAAAAACCCGGATAAAAACTGGTTAATAATAATGAAATTATAAAAAATAAAAATAGCCATGGATTTGTTTTATTTTTACTTGTTGAATTATTGGCAGAAAAGAGATTTGAATTGAATTAATTAATTTAAAGGATTATTTTATTTCAATCTTAAAAGTTTTCGACTAAAATCGAACTTCGAATTTTATTGAATGTATGATGGGCTTTACTAAACGGTATTATTATCATATCACCTTTTTCGAATCCGAAAAATAAAGAGTTGTCAATTTTGAAAATTACTATATACAAGTTTCTTGATTGAGTTCGCAACAAGTCTATCTTTGGATTGTTTCGACGACGCGTCATTTAATTTGTATTGGTCAATAAAGTCAACTAAGTTGGCGAGGCAGGTACAATATTAGACTTGGTAGATAAAGAAATATTTCATTTTATTTATCATCATCATCTTTTAACCAAGTGATATTAACAACATATAATATTTAAGTAAAACATCAAGTTCACTCTTTAATAAATCTATCTCATTATATTTATCCTTTTAAATTTTCTTTATTTTTATCCTTTTCAGTAATTGTTGATGCTGGAAAAAATTTTTTTTTTTCAGGCATTGATCCGGATATAAGTTAACCTGGGTTCCAATTATTACAAACTCATCTTTGTCTGGTTTACACCATATAGGACCCATAATTAACTTCTTAACACCGTCATCTCTTTTTTTGCGATCGTTGCAAATTAAGCGTGAGCATTCAATTATAAAAGTATGTTCGGAATTGGTTGTGCAATTTATCCGGCCATCTTGGATCAAGAGACATAATCTCCATATTTTGATATAAACATTATTATATATCTAGTCGTCTTCCAGAATGACTTTCTTCTCCTATTCTATCCACACTAGCAAGGCTCTGTTTCTCCCGAACTGGATGACATTATTTAGTATTACCTTGAAGACACACCAATGTCTAGTAAGATAAAACTTACTTACTAGTGTATGATGGATTCTCACAAGGAAGAGGATCTAATTGCAGAAATAGTTACGTTTAGTCACATAAGTCCGTTTGTTTTGCGTTTCCATTCGCTCAAGGTGCTGAGAAGTTTTTGACGTTGCTCCAAACCTTGAATGTATAGATATATTTGTTGCTAATGAAATTGCCCTCTGGACTAATCCTCTCAATTCTTCTTTAGGAATCCATGGCTTTTCTTCTATTACTTGTAATGTTGTTTGACGAAATATTACCAAAGTTGTAAAACTATTACGTCAAATTCGCAGCCATTAAGTCAAAAATGACGCAAGTAAAATTGCTTTAAAGGTTGATAAAATAGAAATACTTACAAAAAAAAAAACTTGTAAATATATATTCCAAGATCTTTTTTCTTGAGTATCCCAATCTCTCCTTTGTTTCGTCAGTTGTTCCTAAGGAGCCAAGTTTTTCTTTTGCTGAATACAAATTCAGTTCCCACACACTCATTTACTACTAAACTCGAACATTTCTTATATTAATAATATTAATAACGTGATGCATGATCAAACATCGGTTAGGGATTCGGTACTTTATGTTCCAGGGTCAACTAATTTAGTGTATAATTATTATCAAATGAAAACTTTGCGCAAAAGCTTTTTATAATTATTATCAAATTACTGTGTAAAAAGCCATTTTTTATTTGCTTTAGTGAGTAAGCAAAGGTTTGGACTAACAAATAAAGTATCGTCCAAAGGTTAATCGGAAATACTAGTAGTATTATTTTAGTAGTAAACGTAAGGCTTTTAAACAAACTGTTTGAGTTGTTTTGTGAATAAAAGCAAGTTTGCAATCGGCCAATAATTGTAAACAACTGAAATAAATTGATCTCAAGTGAATATAAGAAAATTTATAGAAGCCCTTGAGCTTTGTAAAAGGGCCGTCTAGTACCATTTTAAGTGTGCTCACAGGTTCATTTAGATGCAGTAAAGTAAAATTGTAAATTAATTTAATTGATAAGCTCCGAATTATTGAAAATTGCTTGCAACTAACTAACAAAGAATTGCTTAAAAGTTAAGCCATAATTGTTAATTAACTGAGATAATGCCACCATTTAACAAGAATCAAAAAAATTTATTATTATTATAATTTAACTTTAAGAAACAATATAAGGATAAAATAAAAAAAATAAAAAAAAATAAAAAAATAAATAATTATAGTGGAGATTAAATTAGTCGTTCATCGATCTTTCTTTACTATAATTACTAGAATCTAGTGTTAAATATTTAATTAATTAATATTGTTAGTAATAATTAATGGATAGTAATTTCCAATTGATTAATAATGAAATTTTATTCACCTTTGTTAACATTCTAGAGAAAAGAGTCACAATCAAGATTATTTATTACTTCTTAAGCTTTTATATTTAGCAATCTCTTCATCTAATATTCTACTTTTATGATATGCATCTGGATGTGATTTGTGTACTTGTTGCGAAGCACCTCTACCACCAGTAGTAGTATGATTACCATTATCATCATCATTATTTTTAATAATTTCGTTATATTTATTTCTAGCAAACATCCGAAGCTCATCAGCAGTTGGTCTTTTTGATGGATCCACATCCCAACACGTTTTGTGACAAATCTTTGACGACCTGGGATCTGAGGTAAAGGCTCCAAGGTAAGGCTATAAGTTTTTGGTCATTTCAAACGGTCTGAAACGGCGGAGAAAGACGAAGACCTAACTGTAGACAACGATAGACACCACGCAAAAAATATCTAAAGCGAAACACGATTTCCTTTCAGTCAAGTAACTGCTCCGTTCGAACCTGACGTTTTGAAGAAAAATAGATGAGTTTTTCGGTTTCCAAATAAACAGAAATGGGAAAACGAAAATATTTTTGTTCGAATTTCAATTTTAATGAATTAGTTCAAATCAGCCTGCGACACATTGCTAAACTCGATTACTTTATCTTCGCAAATCATTTCAAGTCAACGTAGCAAAAAAAAGAAGAAAATGACTATTATCCTTTAATTTTGATTTCATCCTTCCCAACAATTCAATTTACTAAAGTTGAGCAACCAAGTAAAATGAAAATATTACACAATATAAAAATCTACGCAAAAATTGCGCCATTTAGAAAGGAACTGTAACACGTCAACCTTTCTTATTATGTTAAGGGGAAAATTAATGTACCGTTGTTCTCAAACAAAAAAAAAATTTCCAAGTTATATTTTTATATAATGTCATACAATAAACTATTGTCATCGTTATCACCGGAAAGAAAGAAATTTATATTGAAAATTTATACTGAAATGTTTAATAATGCAGCAGTTAATTCTGATAGAGAAAGTAGAAAAGATTATTATGTTTCATTGGTCAAGAAAAACAAGGAGCTTTCTGAAAATGAAAAAGATTATTGTAAAGAAAGATTTATTTATGATTTTGAATTAAAGAATGCAACGTATAAAACAGGCCAACAAAAAGAATGTAACAAATGTAAATTGACAAGGTACTCTGATAGATTCTGTGAAGGTTGCATTAGTTTACAGTTACAGAGTCTTTTCACCACTTGGACATCTGAAAATAACACAATTGATGATTTTATTCAACAATGTCAAATGAAATCATCTTTGCCAGAATATATTTTAGAATGGATACCTTTTGAACAATTTGAAAAAGTAACAAAGTTGACAGAAGGTGGATTTAGTTCAATTTATACTGCTACATGGACAAGAGGAACTATTATTGATTATGACGAAAATAAAAAGGAATTTAGTTATTTTGGAGGTAGAGGGTTGAAAGTAGTATTGAAAAGTTTAAATGATTCAAGTAATCCAGGAAAAGCATTTTTTGATGAGGTTGGTAGTTGTCATTTAAACAACATAAACAATACTGTATTATATCACACTAATTGATTTTATTTATTTTTAGGCAATGAATTATTTGAAATTAAAGCACCAGTAATTGTTCAGTGTTATGGTATAACCAAATTCCCTGATAATGGAAATTACGCAATTGTTTTAAATTATTTAGCAGATGGAAATTTAAGGGGTTATTTACAAAAAAATCACTTAAATTTAACATTAAAAGACAGAATTACAATATTTAGATATTTATGTTATGCATTAGATGATATACATGAAAAAGATTTAATCCATTGTGATTTACATAGTGGTAATATACTTGTGCAAGGAGGTCATTGTTTTATTACAGATTTGGGATTATGTGGACCAGTTGATGAAAAATCATCAAATAAAGTTTATGGAATTGTATCATATGTTGCACCTGAACTACTTAGAGGCAATAACACAAAGAACACCAAAGAATCTGATATCTATAGTGTTGGGATGTTAATGTGGGAAATATTTGCAGGTCATCCACCATTTGATGACAGAGCTCACAATCATCGTTTGATTTTTGACATATGTGAAGGTTTATGACCACCCCTAATGATTGTGTGCAAATGATGCAGAGGTGTTGGGATGTGGATCCATCAAAAAGACCAACTAGTAGAAAACTTTATAATTTTGCTGGAAATAAACGTAATGAATTTTTTAAAAATAATAATAGTAAGAATAATAGTTTAATAAAAAGATTATTCAAATTTCCTAAAATCAAAAAA